CTCCAAAAAAGTGATCAAATCGAACTAAAAAGGTGATATTCGTAATCAGCACGAAATTCTGCATCGAGTGATGGGCTTTTAAGGCAAAAATAAAAACATGCTCCTCTTTTGAATTAGCCGCGCCTTATAATTTGCGTAATTTTCTTAGTTGAAGTCTTGAAATTACAGATTAAGTATAGTTTTGTTGAGAATTTCATAGCGCATTTGTAAGAAAAACAATCCCAAAACGTTGAGACAGTATGAAGAAGAACAGTAAACAAAAAAACATCCATTGTATCTGGACCATCCAACATATTCACTGTTATTTCTTTTCCTTTTTTCTCCTACAGTTATCCATTTAGTTATTCTATAGACATTTTTTCCTCTTTTCTTTCTGGCTATCTCGCGTTTAGTTAGGTCACCACATTGAGTTTTTGTCGCTTAGGTCATTGACTTTTGTTATTCTGTTTGCACATCGCTTGTTATCATTAATTAGATTTCTTACTGATGAGATCTACAATAGTAGGTCTTATTTAAAATCTCGAATTCTTCGAATAAATACGTTTAAAGTACCTTCGTCCATAAAAGAGTGCATAAAGAATTCACATTTTGTGAATGCGATCAGTCACTCACGTTATGAATAGATGTTTCTTAAGATGTAATCTGTTTAAAAAGTGGCTTATATTTTGTTTAGAGATGTATTGTTTTTTTCGTGTCAAAAGTGGACTGAGCGAAAAAGACTTTTGTTAACAGATAATTGTCGTTCTTTGATTCATATAATAAGAAGTATTTATATTTATAGTTAATGAAAAAACTTACTTAATTCGGATGTATTTTTCTAACTTCTCAGTTCCATTACTTACTGTGCAAGAACACACGGATGGTTTTCCTTTTCCTGTCATTAAATAAACATAATTTAGAGAATAAGACAAAGATTATTGCCACTTTTACTACATTATCGTAACTTTTTTTTGGAATTGCATAGTAGGAAGAGGGAATAAAGCAAATCAATTCACAATGGCTCCTCACTAAACATAAACGTCGACTTCAACAAAGCGTAAACAAAGAGCCAACTCAACTGTACTTAACTGGTTTAGCAGCAGGATCTACTGACTGATGTTTATTGCACTTTCGCTTGCAGGAAAAGGATGATGTACACGTTTGATAGTTTTGTTTTTATTCAAGCATTGATTCATGCTAAAGGATATAAAAAGACTAAATACGCGTTGTATTTCACAACTGAAGAGTAGAAACACAAAGAACATCAATATTTTTGGAAGTACGTGTGTATTATTTGGTGTATTCCTCTTTAAGGTACCTGCGGTCGCATGAACCTCAGGCTGGCGGAATGCGCCACTTGGATATATTTTGAAACGCTCCCTAAGTCGAGCACTCTATCGAAGAGCATCTTTGTGGCTTCGGATTCCCCCAAACAAACATCACCTATAGAAAGAATCTAGATACATTTCATCTGAAATCGGGCGATACACGACTAGTTATCATCTAGATTACTAATTGGAAAAGGGACTTTTAACTAGATGCCTCTGCGTGTGCAACTATCAATAGATAGATCGATAGTTGCAACTAGAAGAAATCTAGCAATCGCCCGATTACTAGATTTCCACTGTCGTTACCGAATAATTGCAATCTAGTAATCTAGATGAATTAGGCGATGCTAGATGTTTTTTATGCTTAGGCCAAAGGATAGCGAACGAGCGTTTATATTTGACAATTGATGTGCACATAGCGACAAAAGTATACAGTTAATTTCAAACTAATAACGAAAGAATGAAAGTTTTAGTAGAAAAAAGGTTACATAAGTAGAAAGGAAGTATTTTGATATATCTTGCTCTTATACTAATGGATATGATGCCATTGAGACAATTCCACATTGATTGTTTTTATTACGACTCATTAAAATATAACCTTCATCACTCCATGAAGTACCGTATGAATTTTTAACTATATAATAATCCTGTTTTTGATCTGTTGTACCATAACCAACAATAACACCTGAATGATCCAGATTTTCAGATGAACACTTAGGCTCATCATAAACACCTGATTTATAATATTGAAATGATGTTGACTGGCATCTATTCCAACTGAGATTGGTTCTATTGTTGCGACAGCAGTTTTTAAATCACTTTCATTTCCTTTCGTGATATCAACATAACCTTAAACAACATCAATGGGTAAAATTTGTTAAGGTATGTAACTAACATTTACCTGTATCGTTAGCACCAACATTTTCTTGTTTAAAACGACATTTACCATCTTGAGCTTCATATGGGTAACTTTTTTCTATATCAATTCCTTTATTTATTCTAATATAATCAAATGCTTGATCCATCAATCCGCCATTACAATCTAGATTTCCTTGTGCCCCAGAACAATCAATTAAATTTTGTTCCGATAACGATATAAGTTCTTTATATTTTTTAAAATGCTGTCCTTCTAATGCACCCGTTGCTGTCATTGCCCAACATGAACCTAGGACAAAGAGAAAAGACAGATACACAACAAAAAAAAAAATAATGGTACATACCACAATGCTGTTGATCTTTCACTTCAGTTACGTAGCCTTCTTTTCTCCAATCAACCTCTGATGGTATTTCAATATTTGATGATGGAAGAAATGTATGATGATCATGCTTATTATTAGATAATTTACGAAGTTCAGGTTTAAAACCATCCGTCATTTTTTGAACAAATTCTTCGTATGTCTATAATTTAACTGGATGATATAATCCAACAGGAGTATTGACATATACAACTTACCAAATCACAAAATTTATTCATTCCCATTGTATAGGAGTGTAAATTCAGATCTGCTTCTAAATTATGTTAATGAATTTTTTCTAAACTCTCTTCCCATATTTTACGTCTATACACAATAAAATTCATTTCTATCTAACAGCGAAGATTTTATTTGAGAAAAACATACCACTGTGTTTCTTCTTCTGCTGATGTATAAACTTTTCCATAAACTTGTTTAAATAAGTCCCATGATCGATCAAGTGATGCTGATGTTGCCGATACACCAAATACAGTTGCGACAAATAATACAGCTTTCGTTTTCTTGTCCAGTAACAAAAATTTAGCTCTGTATGTGTATTCTTTCAGTTTAATTTATAATTATCTTTTATTAAAATTTTGCTCTACTTTCTGTTGTTGTCATCTTATTTCACGAAGAAGAGAAAAAGTGTCATCATGATACATATTTTCTTCAAAAAGACAAAAATAGTGAAATGTTTGAGCATATAAAGTAAATTATATTTGTTCTTGACGATTCAGAATGACATAGAAAATGGAATTCATGCTTTATAGTTGTGTGAAAACCAGAATAAATTATTGCAAAAGCCCTGGGACTTCTGTGTTCTTCGTTCTTGGACTTTCAGGAATGCATGAAAACATAGGTTATTGGCCACGCTGAATCTCGTGGCAATGTTAGTTTTCAAAAACAAACGCAGGAACGAAGTGAAAACCGTGAATAGATGGAATAACCCAATTCTGGCTAAAAGTGACCCATCAGAGACGCCGGCAGTCTTTATAGAGCTCGTTATAAGTTCCGCTATGAACTATTCTTTTGAAAAGCAAATACACAGTTTTGTAGTAATTGAGAAGTTAAATCGAATGATATATTGTTTAATTATTTGCAAACAAAATGTAAATCTTTGAACTGTTTATCATTGGTGTTAATTAGGATTCATTAATTATTAACTTATATCCTAGTATGGCTTTTCTGAAATATCTTCGGTGCAACCATCACTAAAAATGATTCACGATCTAAGTACACTAGAATGACATTTGTATAATTAGTTATGATTAAATAGTTAAGGTTTTAAAAATAGTCTTCAAAGTTAATTTTTTTGCAAAAAATTTCGTCGTGATTCGTCGTGAGTGATGATTTAAATCAGATAAAAGAATTTTTAACAAAATATCCAGAATATAGAAACAAATTTAATCCATCTGGTACAACTTTATTATATTGTACACTTGAAAATGGAAATTTAGAAATAATAAAATAAATAACGTGAATCACATCGATTCACTCGGTCCATCGACTGTAAGTAGAATGAATATCGTGTCGAGAATATTCTTCATTTTATTGTAACTGGATCTTGTTACTACAGAATTGAGCAGAGATGTAGTTTTCCCATTCCGGCGCAGGGACAGGATCCTGGAATCCTTTATTCTTG